GTGCCCTTACACGTAACGGCGACCGAGTTTGATGCGAGAATTGTGTCAAGGACAGTGTACTGGGGACTTGAGCTTTGGCTTGTATCGCGAAGCCAAGGTCAAGTTCAGTTTGACGTTCGTTGGCACTGTGAGATGGAACATTTGAGAGGCTGCTGTCAATACACTTGGCCAAGCTGCATGTCGGGTGGGGTGAGGATCCTACCAAGGGCAAATGTGACAAAGAAATACAACATCCTTGCCGAAAGGGTGAAACATAAGAACCGCCACTGACAGACAGAATTCCTGCAGTGCAATTCGTTACATGTACATGAGTCCATACAGAGACAGTGCAGTTCGCCACCATCGCGACCACCGCAAAACGTCACACATCAATCCTAGTGTACATACACACAGCATTTCTCCTTCTCGTCGCCTCCCCCCTCGCAGAACAACACGAGATTCCATCCCACACGTTCGTCGCACTCCGCAATCAATCCACCACGTTCCATTTCCGAATTCATGCACAAGCCCTGCACAGTATGCACTAGTCCAACACGCACACCCGCCAACGGCAAACGCCCCATAAACGGCTCCGCAGGGCTTCCAACGCACCACTTCCTCCATTTGAAGCCACCATTTTCTTCACTCCAGACCCTCTTTTTCTGGATCTTTTTGTTGTTGTGTATCTTCCTTTTCGTTGTTTTTTTGCTCTTTGTTGGCTTTTAAGTTTCTTTTTCTCCCTTGCGGGGACAAACGCGGACAAGGCCAGGTCAGCTCGACAGCGACGACATGACCGACATGGAGTCCCCGCTGGAGAAGGATGGCAGCGCCGGCTGGAAAACCCGCGCGATGCACTCCGGGCAAGTCGACCTCCGCCCCTTCTTCTCCAGCCAGGGCACGATGCACTGGTCGTGGTATTTGTGGCAGCAGGGTAGCGCCCGCACCCGGTCGCCCTCCACGATCCCGTCGTAGCAGATCGCGCACAGCACCGCCGGCCTGTCGTCCGCATCCCCCTTCTGGTCCCCGGGGTCCTCGCTGGCGGCGCCCCGCGGCGCGTGGTAGGTGTACGGCGGCACGCTGTCCAGCAGCGACTCGCTCCAGGCGCTCCTGCGCCGCTCCCGCTCCGGCCGGCCGAGCCGCACGTTGACCTCCGCCGACCTGCGGGTAATGCCCCCCCTGAGTGCAAATCTTTCTTGCATTCCGTGTTCCTTGTTCTTTTTGGACTCCAAAGTAGTGCCCCACATTTCAGTGTCATTCGTGTTCCTTGTGCAGTGCGCTCTGCATTCGGCACTGGAGAACCCTACATCATGTTTTACATCCTGTTTTTCGTGTTTTATATCATGTTTTTCATGTTTTACATCATGTTTTCAAGGGATGGGAAAGAGCATGACATGCACCTGCACAGGAAGAGGAGCTCTTGTATGACCTGTTCTTTTTGGGACATATCTCACCTGTGGGTCAGGCTCCCCCCTGGGGGCACGTTTCCTTGCCTGTTGTGCTGCCTGTGTCGTGTGCCCAGCACATGGCGCTGAGAGACTCTACTAACTTTTCACGGGATGGACGTGAGTCTTGCATACATTTTGCCTAAAAGGGGAAGACCTTTGTATGACCCATTTCCCTTTCTCTCTGTCACAAATCTAGCTCACGAGGCTCTGCACCATCTCTCAGAGCATGGAAAAGAGCCACACACACTTGCCCAGAGGGAGAGTCCTTTGCATGGCCGCTTTCCCAGTCCCTTAGCCGCAAATCTCACCTGTGCGTCAGGCCACGCCTGGGGCGGGGCCTCTCCAGCCCCCTGGCCTGCCTGGCCGCCGGCCTTGCGCCCCGAGCGTCCCTCGCGCGGCGTCGATCGCGCCCCCAGATGGCCTCATGGGCAGGAGGGGGGATCCTGGGCGGCGGGGCGCTTGGCAGGTGGTCCCCTGTGGATACGCCGTAGGCCAGCACGCCCCTGTTGCCTGGCGGGGACAAGTCCAGCAGTCCAGGCTGGTAGCCCTGAGAGTAGAAGGGGCTGCGCATGACGTAGCAGTCGAATGGGCCCCCGTACCCCGTGGTGGGGTACGGGGGCCAGTAGGGATTCCCAGGGTAGTAGGGCATGGCGGCGGTTTGGCTCAGCATGGAATCCATTGCGGAGGATCGGGGTTGCCCCCAGCTGGGGAAGTCTGGACACCAGTCGAAGCGGGGGGGCGCCTCCGGGTAGGTCCTTATGTTGGGCGGGTAGTAGCGGGGGGTGTGGCGGTAGGGAGGGGGTGGGGGTGGGGCCCGTGGCGGAGGAGGCGGGGGCGGGGTCACGGGGGTTGCGCCTGCACTGGACAGGGACCTGCAGCGCAGATTTGGGATGCTTGAGGTTGCTTCTGTCCATTTCAAGCATATAAAGCCTGCAGGCAATGGTGGATGTAATGGCGCAGTGCTGCAGCACATGCACTTGGACACACAGTGCTGGGGACACAGTTGGTCTCCCTTTTACCACAACAGCTTCTTTGCAGACTGAGACATCAACGAGGGCCAGCTCTTCAAACTGACCAAACGGTTTAGCAACTGCCACCAATGCTCTCTTTGGATCGCAGAAAAGAGCCAAAACACGCACCTGTGCAGCACGTAGTCGTCAACAGGCTCTGGGGCAATGTTGTTTGCTGTGCGCTCTGTTGGGAATGGCAAGAATGGCCTTGCCTGAGAGTTTAAGGGTGCCGCCTCCACAGGCTGTGGATGGATGAATGCTGGAGACTGCTGCCCAGATATCAAGGTGCCTTGAGAAGGCATTGCCTGTGAAGACGAGGCAGACCCTGCAGCAGTTGGCTCCCCTCCCTGCACGCTCGTGCTGCCTGGGCCTAGGCGCAACGAGTGGAATGGCAGGAAAGTCCCACTCTCGCCATGTTGGGCTGGGCGCAACGAGTGAAACGGCAAGAAAGTGCTGTGGGCACTGGTGGTTTCACCATCCACCTCTCCCATCGTAGCTGTGGTGCCTGGTGGTGGAGAAGGGCATTCAGCACAGATACTCAACCGCCCACTGACGCTCTGGTCTGAAATTGACACCTCCTGGCCGCTGGTGCAAGGGGGTTCAGATGCAGCTGCAGATGTCCCCTCGTCTGTGGTTTGTGTTGAGACATCGCAAGCATGCACCTCGCTGGTTTCCCCTTCAGCTGTCCCAGTTTCCGGCATGGTCTTGCTGGCCCCAGGCTCACTCTGGTCACGGCCATGAGTTTCTGTTGATGGCACTGCCTCGTCAGCCTTCTGTTGATTTTTCAGACTCTGAAGGCCGCAAGGAGGAAGTCCCACCAAGGGTATCGCAACGTCTCCTGGCCCAGCTGTGGAGAGTTCACGTGCCACGGGACGAGTGCCCTTGCGAGCCATTTCAAGGTAGGTTACTTTCAACAACCCTCTCGAGTGCCCAGGCGCCTCTGGTGGGCTTGCATCTGGATATTTCAATGCCGCAGTAGCTGGGGCTGGGGTGGGGTCAGGGCTGGGGCACCGCCTCCCAAATTCTGCTCGAACAGACCCCTTGTGCTGCAGTGCAGGGCATTCAGTTCCAGGCGTGGGCCCAGCCTTCCAAGCCATCGATCGCTGGCAAGCACCCGGTCGCTTCTCTGACGAAGATCCTAATCGACCAGAGCCTTGGGCACAAGCAGGCCACACAGTGTCTTGCACAGGCTTGCTTGCCGCCACCCCTGCCATTTGTTCTGGATGGCATGGCTGCAAAGCTTGTCCGGCCGCCTTGACTGCCACATCCAGATAGGAAACGCCTGGCTTTATCCTTGAGTGTGCGACACGACCTGAGCTTCGGAATGGGTCACAGCTGGGGAAGCCAGCCATAAAGCGCGATGCCAATCAGGCCTGAAGGGGCTTCAGCATATGGGTAGATGCGTTGCTCTGCTGGCCATGCCAGTCTGGCCTGTGTCCAGCTAGGAACCTTGTTAAGCACAGAATGCCCTACCCTCCTCTGGGTCTGCTGGATCACCCTGTGTGTTCCAGAGCCAGCTGTGGGGTGCCCTTTGCGATTTGAGGATCAGGCAGCCTCTGAATCCCTTTTGTCTCCTGAAGGTAGGCCACCTTGAAAGCAACAAAAGCAGAGCACAACACAATATTATGGGTTGGGTAGGGGTCAACATGCATTGTCCCTTCTGTGTCTGTCTTGTCAGTGCATTCCCAAATTTCACCCAACAAGGCCTTTGCCAGCCAACATATCCCTCAAAACACATGTCTCCTACACAATCTCCAACAAGCATATGTTGCCTTTCCTGTATCATCAGAGATATAGATGGAGGAAAGAAAGAGCAGCACGGTGTGAGAACAATCACAAATCAGGCCTCAAGCGGACACAACTTCCTTCTGTGTGACTGACCAGAGTTTCTTGCATAAATGGTGAACTACAAGGGGAGACATCCAAAGCAACAATCCACGTGGAAGGGCTGTCCTGCAATTTGCTCTAATTTGGGAAGAGAATTGTGAAAGGGTCCCTTCTTGGGACCAGGGGCACATTTAAGGGACTTCCTGAGGAATTCCATGTTCGCAGATTGCAAGGATGAACGACCATGGCGACATGTTTGTGACAATTGGCAGATTTCTATCTGCTGGCCTTCATCCAAGGCTGTTTTCTGGAAGAACACACACTTCTCAAGCATCCACAGCAAAGAATTGTACTGACATTTTTGTCCAGACTGTAGACAACAATGAAGCAGCCTCTGCGGACAACAGGAATACAATTCAACACAGAACAGGAAAATACTAGCAGGAAAACTTGCGCACAGGAGTGTCCAGACCAGCAGGCGCTGAAGTCAGAGTCGCGAATGCAACAGGGGTCGCGCCAAGAGTCTCCTTCCGGAGCTTCTCGAACGCGTCCACGCACAGCACAGCCGCCAGCCCGAAAAAACGTCAAGGTGCACGAAGGAAACAGGCGGCGGGAGTTCAGAATGCAGCACCATCATGGATGCAATCCAAAGGTGCCAATGCACGCAGCTCCGCCTTTCAATTTCCGCGCGATCGGCGCGAGGGACTGGAACGCAGATGCGCACGATCCGTGCCGTCCGCAACAGGAAGAGCGACACGCAAAAACACAAATCCTGTGGACAAACGACGGCGCGCTTGCGACGACCCCGGAAAGCTCCACCCCCAATCAACGCAAAATAAGCAGACGTCGCCAGCTGATCGCCACATCCGCTTCCTTGCCAAGCGCGCCACCCAAACCCCAATCCCTCCACCGACCCCATCCCCCATCGCCCGCGCAGATTCCGCGCATCTCCGCGCGCCAACGCATCGCCCGCATCGCCGCGGGCCGCGCCCAAGCTCATCCCGCCAGATGGGCGGCGCAGCGCGGGCCAACCCGGCTCGCGTCGCGGGCATCCCCCCTCGCCCGCGCGACTCCACAGCGCCCCCGTCGCGATGGCACCCCGGATGCCGCGCCCAGCGACGTCCGCCGCGATCGGTCGCCTGCAGGGTTTTTTCCCCTACAAATATCCGCGGCTGCGCCAGCGCCCGAGCCCAGTCGTCCTGCCCCACCCCGAATAAAACCAAACACAGCCGTCGCGTGCCCAACAAACACCTCCCCGAGCACCGCGAAGGGCGCCAACTGCTCGCGCGGGAGAGCCAGCCGGATCGCCCGGTACCCACCCCGCGGAACAGAATGGAGATTTCTATGGACCCCCCACACCCGGCATCCCCGGAGAAAGACCGGATCACATCGAGGGCATCCGGCCGCCCTGTCGACCGAGCGGCGCCGCCCGCCGGCCGGAGGGTGAGGCGATCCGCCCGTGGCGCCAAATCGGAGAACAAAGCTTTCAATCGTGCTCGCGATGGCCCCGAGATGGTGATGCGGGGTGGCCGCCCTGTGACGTGGACATGAACACCGGAGGGCGGGACTCACCGGAGGGTGGCTAGCCGCGTTTGGAGGCCGATCGAAGAGGCGGGCCCTTGGGGTGGGGGGTCGCGGGCGGCGTCCCGGAGGGGGTGACTCTGCGGGCTCGCAAACCTTGGCATGAACGGCCGGGGGGAGGGGGTTAAGGGTGTGGGAGGGTGGGGCAGATGGAAGCCATTTTTGCCGCGCTGACTGACGTCCTTCGCCCCAGGTTCTGTCGAACGGGGGGCACAAGTACGGGAGGTACAGTACGGCGGGGATAAAGTACGGGGGAAGACGGCCAGCCCGGGGGGTGCTGGGAAGGGAATTAACGTAGTTAATGAGCTTCTGCTGGGGGAGACGTGGGTTCGAGACGAGAACACGTCAGCAGCCTAGGCGGGGGCATCACACCGGGGTGGTCGCCCCTGGCCGTCGCCCGGACGTCAAACCAAAGGGCGGAGAGTGATGGCTGGCCCAATAGTTGTATTCGGGCATGCCTTTAAAGGGAGCCTCAGCCGTTCGGTCACGTGAGAGGCTGGACACTTTTGGGGGAGACGTGGGTGCCGCCAATTTTAGGCTGGCGCCCTCTGGCCGTCTCCATCCTGTTTTGCTCTCCCTCCCGCACATCCCTAGACGTGTGATTTCGGTTTGAAGGAGGAATTGGTGAAGTGCAACGTACAAGAGAAAGTACTATGGTTTGATTCGCGAAGCAAGTGTAAATGTTATGGTCGGCAGTCATTGGGCTTTGTTTGGGTGATGGACACCTGCTGCAAAGACTGTAGCGTACTTGGCCAGTGTGAACTCGGGCGAGAAGATTATCCCGTCAAGCTGAAAGGTCGCTTGATTTCGCGTGTCCGTTCCTTTGGCCGGCCTGGGCCATATTTCGGTTGATATTCAGCCTGGCTGTATTTCGATGTTCGGCCAATGCAGGAGCACGCGCCCAAGCAGCGGAGGGCTTGGCTGCCTTTTGATGGATTCATGCTGTACTGGATCTGGGGTTCTCACATCATTGCACATCAAATGACCTTCATTGGCTTAACCAATAGTAGTCGGGCCAGACTATTCGCCCGGCGAATGAGAGCGCCAAGAGCAGGTGTACTTCGCACTTGCCAACACTGCCACTGCAGCGGGAACAAGCAAGCCAAGGCCCCATTTGGGCGTGGCAATGCACTTGCCGCAAAATCACCATTCTCATTTGATTCGATCCAGCCACTTGGTGCGGCACACTGGGCGCCACATCTTCTGACCGCCAAGCTATTTTAATCGCTCCAGGTGAATGCAGCGCGTTCAGCCAAGCGTAGCTCCAGCTCATGATGGAGATTTCAGTGCCCAAGAAGCAAACATCGGTTCAAATGGATGGGGAAAATTTTCGTTGCCGATAGGTTGGAGCTGTTCATACGAAAGTTCCGCTTCTAAGTGTGACGTCAATGCCACATGGTGCGCCCAGCATTAGGCGGGGTGTGGCAAGCTTCTCTTGCTCCCTCCTTCCCTTGCCCCCGTAATCCCTAAGTCTTAGACACCGATGGACTGCCGATGGTGACCACACAATGGACGGTGTTGACAGCACTACAATAGTGCTGTCAACACCGTCCGTTGGCCAATAATTGGCCGTCAGCCCCAGCGCCAGCCCCGCGGCACCCAGGGCACTGATCGGTTGCCGATGATGCCTGTGCTGCCGACCGTGCCGGCTGCCATTTTGTGCGCCCCACCCCACCCCCCCCTTCCTCCTTCCCCCTTTTGATAGAGGCGGGTCGAGCTGAGCTGTTAATGAGAGAGATGTGTATTGCTGGCGGTTTGGTATGCCGCACACCATTGGTGGAATAGCGAAGATATAACTTGATTTTGAATAGAATCTGCGGGAAAAGGGTAGTACTTGACAACATAAGTTGAGAGCTCGACACACTAGGAAAAAATGGGCCAAATAACACTTTTGCGAATAAAACACATTTCATCAAAGTTTTGCACTCTAAGAACACAAAAACACCATAAACCCGTAAACTTTGTACACGTTTGAACACGTGTTGTTTTGCCCTTTTTTTTCCTAGTGACAAGGGCCTCTCAGACGTCGTGGCCCAAGGCCAAGAAACACATTGATCAGTGCGGGATTGTCGACCCGACAAATGTGCAGAGGTTTGAAGGGCGTGCATGCCGATGCAAAGCGAAGTGATTAGGTCGAGGCCAATAGTTGTGAATGAGAATTTGGAAAGACGGTTTGTCATAATGAATTAGGTGAAAAGAATTGGTCAGCAATTAAAATGGACATAGCGACGCCAAAGCCCTTAAATGCTGTTGCAAGGACTATTTGCTGACAGCATCAATGCTCTTCGAAAACTTGTTTGAATTAAGTTCCAGCATACCAATATAAGGTGAAACCAAGAAGGGCGGAATTCGGGGTTCAGGGGGTAGACAGAAATATTTTATAAGATTGTGCGTGTCACGCTGAATAGTGATACGTAATATGACGAAAATCCACATGTATATTTAAAACCAACCGGTTACTTTTATTTTGGTGACGAACTCACTCATGCTGTTCATCTCGGAATGCTATCTCAAGAATTGGAGATAGGAAAAGGCTATTTAATGGAGGTGCTATCCTTTTTTCTAGCCGTATGCTTGTTTCCCAGGGCTGGGGCAAGTCATGACGACAAAACAAAATTCTGCGATTCCCAATTTTTGAATCTAAAAACGACCCATGCGTACACTACGGCACCCCTTCTCAAGTTTGCTCACCCCAACGGTCCTCAAGGGCACCCGGGCAAAGGGACAATATCTTCATTACTTGTGATCCATTCTGATTGATGGCAGATACAATTCAGAAGTGCTTAGGACCTGAAAGTGCATCCGCGGCACACCTTCCCAGCGGATTGCGCAACCAGTGTTTCACGGAGAGGCTGCTATACTGCGGCCCTCGCGCCCATTCAATGTTGATTTGATGTCAGGCGATGAGCCCGAGAGAGTGTACATAGATTTGTGGACGGCGAGT